CGCATCCCTAAGATTGTCGTCGACTTTTGGCTTGTTAATCTTAGGGATAGGGATACGTTCGAGGCTGGCTATATATATGGCGGAGGAGGGCGCGTGCCAGAAGGATCGGACCCCAAGGAGCCAACGTCGCCCCGGCGGGCCCCCGAGAGGCCCCGGCGGGGCGCCCCCGAGGAGCCCTCCGACGCCCGCGCCGCGGCGCCCATGTGGCGGCCGAGAGGGTGCCAAGGAGGCCCCCGAGCGGGTCCGGGAGGGCTCCGGGACGGTCCGAGAGCGTTCCAAGATGCCGAAGGCTACGGGGCGTGAAAACGACCACAGCCACTGCTTTTCTTTTGTTGCCACCTTCCAGCCCGCAGAAAGAAAGCAGTGGTTGTGGTCATTTTCGTTGAGCTTGGCACCAGGGAAATGACCACAACCACTGCTTCTTTTTCAGCCGGCTGGAAGGCGGCGCAAACAAAAGGCAGTGGCTGTGGTCATTTTCCCGTCCCGCAAAGACAGCTTCAGACTGCCCAAGAGGCTTCCGAGACGCCCCAGGAGTGCTCCAAGAGCACCTGCGAGAGAGCCCGAAGAAGCAAGCATGCGACGCGGAGATCCCCAGATGTGCATCTGTGTGCCCACACCTTTCTCGTCGCGAGCGTTTGCGCGCGAGGGAGCCTAAACATGAACGGGTCTGAGTACGATAACCTTGGAACAGGTGAGTCTGAGTTTGAATGAGTCTGAACGCGAGTGAGTCTGAGTGTGAGTGAGTCTACGCGCACGAGTGTGAGTGAATGTGAGTAGTCTGAGTGTGGATGTGAGCGTGAAAGGTCTGAGTATATTTTAGTGTGAGTGGTTTGAGTGTGAGCGTGAGTTTGAGAGTCTGAGAGCATATGAGTGTGAGTGCCCCCGCCCCTGGGGGCGCCCCCTTGGGAGTGCTGAAACAAGCGCCTCGCTTGAGACATCCTCACACGCTGCTCCGAAAACAAACGATTTTAGGCACCCAGACCGGCAAACCGCTTGAGACATCCCCAAAATCTGGGCGCGAATCTGGAAGTGTCCCCACCCCTGGCAGCTGGGAGTGCTGAAACCAGCGCCTCGCCTGAGACATCCTTACAATCTACTCCGAAATCAGCGGGTGTTGGAGAGCAGAATCAGGCAAATCGCTTGAGACGTTCCCACAATCTGGGCGCGAATCCTTGAGTGTCCCCTCCCCCGGCGCCCCCCCACCCCCTGGGAGTGCTGAGACCAGCGCCTCGCTCTGGAAATCCTCACAGTCTGCTCCGAAAGAAGAGGATGCTGAGGGCCAGAAACAGGCAAACCGCTTGAGACGTTCCCACAATCCGGGCGCGAAACCTGGAGTGTCCCCTCCTCTGGCGAAGAGCAGGAGGAAGAAGAAGAAGGAGAAGGAGCAGGCGGAGGAGGAGGGGAAGTGGGAGGAGGAGAAGGAGAAGGAGAAGGCAAAGGAGGAGGAGGAGTAGGAGAACAACGAGGAGGAGTAGGAGGAGGAGAAGGAGGAGGAGAGGGAAAAAAGACCCCCCCCCCCCTGGGAGTGCTGGAGCCAGCGCCTCGCCTCTGAAGTCCTTACAGTCTGCTCCGAAAGCCGACGATGCTGGAAACCGAGGCAGGCAGACTGCGGGAGGCATCCCCGCAGTCTGGGTGCGAGTCCCAGAGTCAGGTCGGGCCTGTCCCCCTACAGGGGGGATTTTCGACGACAAATGAAAGATACCCCAAAAATAATTTAAAAATGCTCCCCAAATCGTCTGGGGACCATTTTTGTTAGTATTGTTTGGCTTTTTGGGGGTATTTTTGGTGTATTTTTTGTTTTTCGTCGAAAATCCCCCTGTAGGGGGACAGGCCCGACTCAATCCTAGAGTGTCCCCACCCCTGGCGGCTCTGCCCTGGGATGTCCAAGTGCAACGCCTGCTGCATCGCGGCGAGCAGTGGACCACCGGAAAAGTTTGACCGCGTCTGAGTTGGGAAGAGCATGTCGAAGTGAGAGAGTTTGACATGTATGAGTGAGAGC